GCACATTTCTCTGCGTTAACATGTGCAGTACTTCTGTTGCAACACTGGAAATGAAGACACGCTCCGAGGGTTAGTCTTTCACGCTAAGCAATGTCAGATGGCATGCTAGTAGAGACATTGCTTATGAGGCTCAAGGCGATTGTTCAGAAACATCTCGAAGTGGGTGAAAGAATATGCTCTTGCGTTTAAGTCTAACAGATGTCGAGAGAACTCCTCCGTGAGTTACATAATTCCTCGGGACTTGGTGTCCTGGTGCTTAATAGGAGTTGCCTTCTTCATGGGCTTGTGTTGAGATGGAAACATTATTGGCTGACGGCTCTCCATGTGACCTGCTGCACAGTAGGCTCCACAGGTGTTAGTAGGGTCTCCACCCCACAAGAAAGAAAGAAAGAAAGAAAGAAAGAGAGAGAATTGCGGATGCGTTGGCTCCAGCGCCTGGAGAGCCTGTGCTTGCCAGAGCACAACGTGCTTCATGGGGTTTTCAGCAGCTGACTTGGGGCAAGTGGGTGGCAAGGTTTTTTGTTTGTTTGCTTGAATCTCTGAATACAGCTGGCTCTCCAGGCTGTAGGGTCACAGCCGGATACCATGTGGACACATGTGGACTTAAATCCGACTCTACTCACTCACGTGGCAGGGCTTCCAGGGACCTGGCAAGTAGTTAAAATGGGTGAACTGGAGACCACAAACTCCATGGAAGTATGCATTCTGTGACATCTCCAGTTTCCTAAGATTGTGGACTAAAATCACTTCTTTGCATTGTTTTGAGGAACAAAACACTTCCGCCGCTTTATGCCCTCCAGTTTAAAGAAGTGACAAGAGAAGACCTTGCTGTTGCTGGCTTGTTGCTGTGGCGGCCACTCAGACGCAAAGCCACCCTGAGGAACAGGGCAGAACTAACTGCCCCCCAGGAAACAGCCAGTCCGATCAAACCACCACCGTGTCAGTGAACAGCCAAGTGTTGGTTTCACCACGGCTTTATCACCAGGGCTTCTTTGTGTGTCTAAAACCCCAACCCACTGTCTCCAACATATCTGCCTCACAGAGGCTCCATGTTGGGCTTCCTAGACTATCAATCTTTACCGGGGCAAGTAGCCTCATCTTTCTCCCCAAGAGGCTGGTGAATTTGAACTTCCAGCCCTGTGCTTAGCAGCTCAGTGATTACCTGACAGCATCATCATAATTGCTTCTCTCGCTAGTGGCAATCAGACCAGCCCTCTGTCCTCCCCGCAGAGCCGTCCTGCCCTAGAAGAAGGGGCTTGTTGAATACTGAATGCCGTTTGTGTCAGGATGTGCATCCCACGGTAGCGTTTTTTTCCTTCCAGTACATCGGCACTGCCTTCCCCATCCCCCCGTACAGAGAGGTGCTTGTTCCACCGCCTCCGCAGATGCCAGCCTCTCTCTTGGCTTTTGTCTTGCTGTCACTGGAAGCATTCGAGACTGTGAGTGGACAGCTTTGCTTGGTGGTGACTTTATCTGGGGAGTCGATTCTTGGGAAGCCTTTACCTCGTTTAGGTCTCGAAACCTGTGATACCTTAGGAAGGTGTTTTCAGTTGCAAGAAGCAGAATTCAACCCATGCTAGCTTTTGAGGTGGGGGATGTACGGATTAAATACTGTGTGTCATGATGCTCAAGGAAAATAATTCACCCAGACCAGGGGATGGGACTAGAAGTGGACTAGGAAGCTATTAGAAGCCTGGCAGCAGCTCTCTCAAGCCAGCTCTTCCGGGCCACATGATGTCCCCTGCCTCCTTTTGGCTACTTGTCCGTCCTGTTCTCTCTGCCGATGGCTTTTCTTTTTCTCCCCACACGTGGCAGATGATGGCTGCTCCCCACCAACCAAGTCCCCGTTCTCTCTGACCCACCTCCTGACTACCTGCAGTGAGGTTCCAATGGGTCCATCTTGCATGCAGTGCCCGTGCCTGGCCCAGGTCCAAAACCAAGCCGTGCAAGCATGGCTGCCACTACTCCTATTCGTCATGAGTTAAATAAGACACACACAAGAATGCTGTCATTGCTGTGAGTTGTTATCAAGGTGCCTCCTGCTCAGGGCGACCTTGTACATCACAGATGGAAACATCGGTGGGTTCTGCACCATCCTCACTGGTTGGTTTGAGCTCTTTGTCGGCAACTGGTATATCAATCGATCTCATCAGTGGTTTCCCTGGTCGGTGCTGACCCTGTCTCTAAGGCCTGCAGTACAATTGTGTGTTGACAAAAAGGAAGGTTAACGAGTCCTAGGGAGGTGGAAAGGTTAAAAAATAGGTTTCTTTTTTTTAAATCAGAAAAGAAGGGTATTTGGATTGAGGGGAAACCACGTAGCTTGATTTAGTTCACGGCTTGTGACATGTACCATAATGGGGTCAGGCTTTGTGAGTTAATCTTTTGAACATGTATCCATGATACATTTCCATAGGGCACACACTTACAGCCTACTTGTATGGGTTGCTTTACAGAAAGAGTAAAATGATTTGAACTGACATGTTTATTTATTACCCTCTGGTTTATTTATCCCCTCCGATTGTGTAGGAGAGTTTTGTAAAAGATGAATTTTTGTACCTTGACCTACCTTTCCTGCTTGCCCAGATAGCTTTGAACGCATGATCTTAAATTCTTGGTATCTCCGTGTTCTCCCCGGTGTAGTGAAAATGGTGCTCAAGCATAGTGTTCTGTGGCATTTTGATGAGATGACATACACGAGGTGCCCAGCTTGGTACCTGGAACTAACCAAGATTGCTTCTGTTTCTCTTTGTCACCAAAGATGTGTGTCTGACCGTAGCGTTGCAGAGGGAATGATGGGGCTGTCTACACCCATAAAGACTTACAGTCTTGGAAACCCACAGGGGCAGGTCTACCGTGTTCTGCAGAGTTGCTGGGAGTTAGAATTGCCTCAGTTGCACGAGTCTGGGTTTTTTGGTTTGCAGAATTGAGGTGTCATCTGTAACCGTGGGATAAAGTGCAGTGTATCCGCCTACAGTGAGTGAGTCCTGTGAGCCACCGCTCCCTAGTACCTCGATATGCCCACACTGAGCTCACTTTCAACCCTCAGGGTGGGGTTCAGTCAGAAATGCACGTGCCGCTAGACTCCCGGCAAGATGGTGGGCGAGGCAGGCGCACCCCCCAGACACAGAGACCAAAGGAAACAGACACAGTGATTCCTGGAACCCTAAATTCAGAGGAAAGGATCAAGGAGCGACTTGAGTCGCAACCAGAGAGGAAGCTGAGCAACAGCAGCTATTTCGAACTCTTGCAAGCAGTGTTTGACAGTATTATCGTAAGAACCCAAGAAGCGATGTTCACAATGGTTTGAAAAGTGTACATGCTGAAACTAATATTTTTCACACTGAAAACAAGTAACGTATCTACACTGCAGCTCAGTTTCCTTGTCTTCTTACAAGGGGAGGTAATGCCCACCCCATCAGGGGCCTCTGCACCCAGAGACAATGTACATAAGGCACCGAGCACGTGTTGGTACTCAGTGATGTGAAAGACATGATGTTATATGCATTTGAGTTCCCAGTTCTTATGATTTTGTGCAACTGCTGAGAGTCAAAATGTAGCCCCTGCTTTTCACAGTGATCCGGTCATGATGCAGAACTGGATGTGCCAAGAGTCCACTGTGCCATTGCTTGTAAAGAAAACACTAGCACCAGCCTGTGTTCTTTAGCAGGTGATTTATCAAATTATTATATAGCCACGTGATGGCTGGGCATTGCGTAACCTTTAAAAAGAATGAGGCCAGTCTATATGCTCTGCCCTATATGTTGTGGTCTCTGTGCTTTGGAATTGATAAAAGCAGAGGGCACAAGAGGGAGTATAACACACCTTCACAGACTGACATCATTTCTGTAGAAAGAAAATAGCTGAAAGAAATCATATCCACTCGCACATTTTCATGTAAACACAGTCTAAGAATATGTGCCTGTTTGGGCAGAACAGCATGACCAGTCAAGGGGCTCTGCTGGCCAGTGGATACACTTGGCCGCTCAAACCTAACCAACCAACCGCTCCACAAGTGAACGCTGTGACGGACTGCCTCCGTAAAGAAGTTCTAGCCGTGGAAACTCTGTGGGGCACGTTGACTCTGTCCTCTGCCCGCACGCACATACCCACGGCTGTCCAGTGGGTTCCAACTCAGAGCGACCCTCTCGGACCGAGCAGAACCCTTCCAAAGGGTTCCCAACAAGACTGGGCTTGCTATGGGCTCAGACATCTGCCTCCTGTCTCCTGGGAAGCAGCGAGTGGGTTTGAACTGCCAACTTTGAGAGCACAGTGCTTACCCCACTGTGCCACCAGGGTGCCTTCCGTGCTCTCTTATCGCGTCGCATCAGATGACAAGTTGTCTTTACTAATATGCACACGCACCGAGAATTCCCCTCAAGCGGTCAAGGTGATGGTTTCTCTAAGTAAAATGGTTTGGGGCACGAGCTAATGAACATAGGCCTTTGTTACAAAGAATTTTATGAGGAATATTTCCTAGTATTGGAATTTTAATTGAGAAAAACTGAAATATAATTGAAAATGTATACACCAAAGTATGACCTGTTCTTAACTATAGTGCTGGCATATGAAAACGGGAGACAGTTTCAAAAATGGCACCTTTCAATTTGAGTATCATGTGATTTTCTTCTTATAGTTATGCATATGTAGTGTTTACTAAAAGGCACCATTAAATAAGGCATTTTTGTTTGAAGAATAAAATATTGACTTAAGGAAAAAGTAAGTCTAATTCCTTCTAAGATGGAGGCTTGCTGTTCATATTATAATCCAGTATATTGTATAATTTCACAGTATAATCCAGTATATTGAGTAGGATTTCCTTTTATTTTGTCCTTTGCTTTCTTTTGATCAAAGAGTTAATGCCAGGTAATAAATCTGTTTCTGTCCAAGCCCACTGATTAGCTCACATGAGCACATCTCATGTAAAGTAAACAATCAAACAAAGTCAGGGGTGTGTTCTCTAGTCCCTGTGCTGACCCTCCTCTTTTGTCCTGTCCCTGCAGATGACAGAAGGCAGGCACTGCCAGGTGCACCTCCTGGATGACAGGAGACTGGAGCTGCTGGTGCAGGTAGGTCTCACCCACCCAGGGACCGTTCTCTCTGTGGCCCTCATGTCCTGAGTTCCTGTCTGTGCCTCAGAGCCAAAGACTCAGGATGAATTGAGAGGGGACAGGCAGCTTCAAAGTCTTAGAAAACCTGGTCTTTGTATAAGAGTAATTATAAGCCAGTGGCCTAGACTCAAGAGCTCTGGTGGTGTAGTGGGCTGCTCACCTCAAGGTCAACAGTTCAAACACATCAGCTGCTCCAAAAGAGAAAGACGAAGCTGTCTGCTTCCCTTAAGATTTAGTCTCAGACATACAGAAGGGTCACGGGGAGGAGACCAGCCAGTCAGAGTGCAGGGTAGCAACGAAGAAAAATACAACTTTCCTCTAGTTCCTTAATGCTTCCTCTCCACCCACTATCATGATCCCAATTCTACCCTACAAATATGCTGGGCCAGAAGATGTACACTGGTACAGATGGGAACTGGAAGCACAAGGAATCCAGGGCAGGTGATCCCTTCAGGACCAGTGGTGTGAGTGGCGATACTGGGAGGGTAGAGGGAGGGTGGGTTGGAAAGAGGGAACCAATTACAAGGATATACATGTGACCTCCTCCCTGGGGGACGGACAACAGAAAAGTGGGTGAAGGGAGATGTCGGACAGGGCAAGATATGACAAAATCATAATTTCTAAATTATCAAGGGTTCACAAAGGAGGGGGGCAGTGGGGAGAGAGAGGAACAATGAGGAGCTGATGCCAGGGGCTTAGGTGGAGAGCAAATGTTTTGAGAATGATGAGGGCAATGAATGTACAAATGTGCTTTACACAATTGATGTATGTATGGATTGTGATAAGAGTTGTATGAGCCTCTAATAAAATGATCTAAATAAATAAATATTTTTTTTTTTTAAATTTAGTCTCAGAAACCCAAAGGATCAGGTCTACTCTGCTCTCTAGGGTCTCTGGGAATCAGAACCAACTAGATGGCAGTAGGTGTAGTGTTGGAGTATTAGCTTAGACTCAGAAACCCTGTGTTTCCATCTCAGCTTTGACTCTGGGCATGTGACTATACTTCTCTGACCCTCTCCTTTTTATTCTGGAAACTGTACTTCCCTGAAAATGTATCATGAAGTAAGAATATGCAATCTGCTGCTTTCCATCAATATTAGCCTGGTCTCGCTTCCCCGCTCGTGAACTAGGCATTGTAGTGAAGACTCCCGGCCGAGGCTCTCTCACAAGGAGTCGTGGTGGCACTGTGACTCTGAGTTCAGCTGCCAACCAAAAGGTTCGTGGTTCCAACACACCCATCATTGCATGGGGGAAAGATGGGGCAGTCTGCGTCCATCGAGATTCCAGCCTACGAAGCCCTATGAGATAGTTCTGCTGTGTCCTGTGGGGTCACTAGGAGTGACTCGACTTAGTGGCAGTGACTTTGCGGTTTTCTCCTTCCTCACAAGCAAACGGTTAGACCTTTAACTAATAGCCAAAAGGTGGGCGATGCAAACCCACCCAGAGGCACGTTAATAGAGAAGGCCTGGAGATCTGCTGCCAGGGGCCCAGCCTGGAACACCCTGTGGAGCAATTCCCCTCTGCACACCTGAGTGTGCTCTCAGTGGGCATTGCCTTGACCTTCCTCGTGGGATTAGGGTCAATGTCAAGCCAGACTCTATCCATGGGAATAACATTTCTTTGTGAAAAGACTTTAACTATTGATGACGCTCTCTTTTCGCTTACCTCTCAGGACCCAAGAGTCTTACAAGTTATGGCAATCCCTGTGGACAGACCACACCTAGTGTTAGCCTGGAACCCTTTGCCAAATCCTTGCCCTTCGGAGGCTCCCGCGACTGAGGCTTTTCAGAATGAAAATAGGACTGCCAGCACTGGCTTCTCACCAGTGGACTTTTGAAATCTGCTAGTCTCTCTCCTTTGTTTTATCATACACTCCTCTTTTTTTAGTAATTATACTGGGAGCTTTTCCAGATGTCATAACATTCCATAGTTCAGTCACATCGAGCAGTGTTGTACAATTGTTACCACAATCAGTTTCAAAACATTTTCTTTCTTCTTGAACTCCTTGACATCAGCTCCTCTGCGTCCCCTCCCTCCCCGCCCCGCCCCCCACTCCCGAGGAACATTCATTCATTTCTTTATTCTGCCATCTCATACACCATCCAATATATCCATCCACATATAGTTCCGTTGTTTACCCCCCTGGAGTGGGGTTATACAATCATCAATGCTATCATCTCCCCCTCCCGCGCCACACCACCTTGCCTGTCCTTTCTTCCTGTCTCCCCAACACTAAGCATCCGGGGCTCAACTCACCATGTGGTTGTTGCGTGGAGCCCTCTCTGACTCACGACAACCTTATGAATAACAGACCCAAACAGTAGCTGCTCCTGTGTCATCCTCACCATCTCCAGCAGGGTCACGTCTGCACTGTGGCCTTGATGCCCCTTCATCGCAGCTAGGGTCTCCCTCTCCCTGTCACCCAACCTGATGTGCCCCTCAGGTGATCCATCCTTCCTGCTGACGTGGCCAAAGCCAGCGAGTCAGGGGTTAACCATGTGCTAGAAGCCGTGCCCCAGGATGTCAATGTTTCTGAGGAGCTTCCAGATTACCACAGGCTAGGGGGAAGGTCTGTTGGTCACCTTCCAAAAATTACCCAGAACACCCTTATGACGTGTTTGCTCAAAGATGAAAAAGAATCCCTTTGGACTGCCCTCTGCATTCCCCAGGCCCTTCCCCAGGCCCTGTACGGCCAGAACCAGAACTCCAATCCGGCTGACTTCAAATCCAAGCTGCTTCCTGCCTCCTGCTTCCTTCCCCAAAGCACATAAGTGATGGCCTCCTTCTAATTAGACGCTGACTGCACACTGTGGATGGCAGACAGACAGCCTCAGCTCCAGAGAGGAATGAAAAGCTGAGCTGTGGAATGGGGCCGGCATGGCTCCACATCCCTCTCTGTAACAGCAGCGGCAGCGCCTGTCTTCTGCCACATCTCTTAGAGACCAGGCTACCAGAAATCTACCTGAGCAGGAAAAGGGGGAGGACAATTAAAAAACAACCAGTAAAAACTGCTGTCAACTATTCCGGGCAGAGGCAGGTGGTAACACTGAGAGAGTGACCCATCAGAATTGTTTCTAATAAGGGTTTTCTCTCAACAGCCCAAACTTTTGTCAAGAGAGTTGCTGGACCTAGTAGCTTCGCATTTCAACCTCAAAGAAAAGGAGTACTTTGGGATTACGTTCGTAGATGACACGTAAGTGTTCTAATGGTTTCCTTCTTTACCTGTTGTCGGCTGAAGCTATGATTCACAAAAAGAGGGCCAAGACTCCAAGGATAAGCCTGCTTAGTCAAAGGCTTTATAATGCCTGCTTTCCCCCTTGGGCCGTTCCAGAGGAAAGGGATATGAACACCTGAGAGAACTCAAACCATTGTCCTAAGTGTTGTGAATTTTTTGTACCGAGGCTGCTGTTCTTGGTGGAGGTCTATCTTCAGTTCTCCTTGAATCCAGCTCGGGTATTGGCAATTGCTAGTCGCTCATGGCTTGAAGCAGAACTGGAATTGTGGTGTCAGGTGCAATAGCGTTCAAAAGATCAATGTGTGACCCATCTACATCTAAGAAAGATGTGTATGGTTCAGCATGGAGTGAACTGTTTCAACTCTCACCCTGGTGGTGCTGTGGGATGGGCATTGAGCTTGCTACTGAAATGCCAGCCATTCAAACCCACCCACTGCTCCATGGGAGAAAGAGAAGGCTGCCTGCTTCTGTGAAGATTGACAGTGTAGGAAAAACACTGTAGGGTCAGTCACAATGAGCCAGAATCAATTTGGTGGTAGTGCGTTTTGGTTTTTTGTACTAACTTTATGTTGCTTCATTAGCTTATAATTTTTGTCTTATGTTTTTCACATGTTGAATGTTGTATGCTATTTGTCAAAATGCTAGTCCTTTCTGAATGAACCAGGGCATATAACAATAAGTTTACTAGAATTTGAAACCCTATTCAGCAAATATGTTAGGACCAGTTTGTAAGTATTGAGTTTGTTTATTTTTTTTTTGTATGTGTGTTATAATAGTTCAATATGCCTATATTATACATAGCTTGATGGATCATCCTAGGGAATGTGCCCCTCTCTGGGAATAATATCCAAGGAGCCCCTTAAATATTCAAGTTCAAGAAAATGTGTTCCCGACACAAGCTAGGGTGGCCACGACATTCTTCCCGCCCCTGTCCCAACTTACATGCTTTGTTTCGTCTGTTTCAGTCCTCAGTTTAACCAAGTCAGGAATCACAAAGGGAGTTTAGTGTGTGTTTAACACCTGTTGGCTTCTCACTGTTTCTGGCCTGGGCCAGCCATCCACCAGGCACAGGACTTGGCCTGAACAAAAGTTAGGGAGCAAGGAGAAACCAAAAAGACAGCAAGGTGTGGGGACATGTAGAAAACCTTCACCACTGAGATTCTGGAATCAGCACGTTTCCTGAATAAACTTCAACAACACGGAAAACGGGCCCTCCGCACCAGCCCCCTGGCTCTCAGTCACAGAATGGGCTGCTCACTGGACCCTACTGGAGAGACACTGTGGGGTCAAACAGGAAATGCAGCATTCAGTGACAACAGTGAGAGCAAAACAAACCCAAAGTGTTGTCCTTGACTTGACTCTGGCGCCCGGCCACCCGTGCGTTACAAGCAGACTTGTGCTCCCAGGGCTTGTTTGGCTGTGACCTCTACTAAAGCCAATGCCAGACCTGTCTTCACCCCACCTGTGGAACAGTCAGCCTTCCGCTTAGTAGTTGGTAATAACAACCCTTTGGGGTTACCTAGGGACCCTTTGGGCAGCATATTCTAGCTCAGGAGCCGGCAAACTTTTGAGACAGAAGAGCCAATCCTGTCCCTCGCAGCAATTTAAAAAATATTTGAGAGCCATAGATTATTTTAAGGAACACATGAAATCACCATTATCTGAATAATATCCTTAACTTTTTTTCATTTTACTTAAGAATCACATGTACGTACTGCATCATGTATGACTCCCAAGCCATGGTTTGCCAACCCTGCTCTAGCTGAAAGACAGAACTAATGCATGTGAATGACCGATGACACCCACATTACATCTGAATGCGAATGAAATAAAGCAAACGACCCAAGACATAAGCCCTAACCGCCTAGAGAGCGCGTCCACGTGACTTGGGGAAAGTCAGATAGCAAAGGGTGAAGAGCGTGGGCAATTGAGTAGCCTATTCAGCGTGTTGTGGAGGGCCAGTAACCGGGTGGTGGTGTTCTGGGTCCTGGGGACTCAGCTGTGAGCCGCTCGGAGGAGGCCTCTATTCTGTGGCTCATACCGCAGTGGTAGGGATTGTCCATGTCCATTTCTGCAGAGCATTAATGCCGACCCATAACAGCCCCACAAAACAGAGCAGAACTGCCCCCATCGGGTTTCTGAGGCTGCAGTCTTTATAGAACCAGACTGGCACATCCTTCCCTCACCCCCCAGAGCAACTAGTACATTTGAACTCACCCCTTTTTCATTTAGTAGCCAAGCACTTTAACCACTTTACCACCAAGTCTTGCATACCAAGAAGGCAAATAGATAAAAGTAAAATTGCCAGAAATCCTAAGTGCTTTGAGGAGCATAGGATACAATACCGTGCTGTAAAAACAAAAACCAATTGGAGGGACAGTTACAGACAAGCTAGGCGAGGAAGAAAGACTTCTAAGAGTCGTGCGAAGACCTGGATGCAAACCAGAGTCCTGCAAAGTCTGCAGGAGGCATTCTGAACAAAAGGCAGTGCAGCGCTTGTGAGATGGAGCTGAACCTGGATTTTTTACGGTTAGTGCGGCTAGACTGTCAGGCGGACACGGCACAAGATACGTTTCGAGAGGAAGGTCGGGGCCAAACAACACAGGCTCTTGTGTTGTGTGTGGTTGTATGGGGAGTTCAGCTCTGTATCATCCCTTACACTTCCATGTTTCCATCTCTATTGGGGACATAATACTAGTGTCTGTGCCACATGTTCTATAGTGCTGTGGTGAGGTGGCATCGGGTCAGTGTAGACGCAGCGACCAACAGACGGAAGCGCTGCCTGGTCCTGAGTAATCCTCACCATTTTTATCATGTTTGCACCCATTTTTACAGCCCTGTTGATAGTCGACCGCTCTTGCTGCCCCTCTACCAAGCATGATGCCTTTTTCAGGCACTGGTCTCCGCTGGGAACATGATCAAAGGATGGGAGGCGAAGACACCATCCTTGCTTCTAAGGAGCATTCGGCCTGTACTTCCTTCAAGGCACATTTGTTTGTGCTTCTGGCAGTTCATGATGCTGTCCGTGTTCTTCACCCACATTATCATTTGAATCCGTCAATTTTTCCTTACGCATGATCCATCTTTTCCTTGCATACCCACCACCACCACCACCCAAAAAAGTAAAAAGCTCTGCTGGGCGGAGCTTTCACCTTTTCCCACTAGATGAGCATCTAGCGACTCACTCTGTTTGTAGTGCACCCAGTGGTGTCACCTAGGAAGGTTCTCTCTGGTCACAGTGAATTTTCTCATAAAAGCAGTTTCGAACCTCATTTTTTGTGATGGCCCATTCAAGAGAACAGTGTGTGGCTGTGAAATTTTGTTTCCTGCTCAGGAAGAATGCTGCAGAAACTGTTGTGATGTTGAACACAGCCTACAAGGACAGCGATATGGGAAAAACTCAAGTGCACATGAAGTTTTCTCGTTTCAAAAAAGGTGAAATGTCGATTGATGACAAACCTCATTCCGGACGTCTGTCAACTTCCTCAATGGATAAAAATGTTGACAAAATTTGTGCACTTGTGCTTGAAGATCGATGATGGACCATTGAAGTTATCTGGACTATCTTGGAGCTTGGTTCAGTGAATTTTAATGGAAGATTTGCGAATGAGAAGCATCACTATGAAATTTGTGCTCAGGTTCTGACTGACCAGGAAAAAGAACGTCAAGTGGAAAAAAATGCCATGCTTTGAAAGAACAGCTCCAAGGTAACCCAGACTTGTTTTTAAAGGTCAAGACACAGTGCTATTCTTACTACCCCGAAAGCAAACACCAATCAAGCCAGTGGAAGATGCCATCATTACCTCGCCCCCAAAAAGCTCTTCACGTGAAATCAAAGAGCAAGATGCTCAGTTGTTTTTGTTTTGTTTTTAATGTGAGGGGAATAGTGCATTTGGAGTTCATTCCACCAGGTCACACATTAATCAAGCTTTCTATTTGGAGGTTCTGAAATGATTGTTGAACAGTGCCAGATGAGGGACTGGGTTTGCCACCACAAAAATGCACCTGCTCACACAGCCATCTCAGTGCGCCGGTTTTTGACAAACAGCAGCATGCTTCTCTTGCCCCACGCATATGACTCACCTGACCTCACTCCGTGCAACTTCTTTTTGTTTCCAAGAATGAAGAGGGACATGAAAGGACAGGGACTTGATGAACTAGAAGAGGTGAAGAAAAAAACGAGGGAGGTGCTGTCAGCTGTCCAAACAGAAACGTTTCCAAGAATGGAATCACAGATTTGACAAATGTATTAAGTGTTATGGAGAGTACTTTGAAGGTGATAAGGTTGTTTTGTTAAAAAAAATAATACATAGCTTGGGAGGGGGGGTGTTTCCGGGGGTTTATTTGGGGGGGGGGTGCAGGGTACCCCTTCATGTGAGGTGGTTGAAAATAGTCTGGTTTGGGTGTTTTCATTGGAATGTTTGCACACCTTCGTCCTCCAAGTGCATCTTTTCTCCTTACAGTACAAAGAGGCCTTGTGCCACAGAACTGCGCCATGCAGTGTATCACTTGATTTCTTGACTTCTGCTTCTGTGAGGCTTGATTGTGGGTCCAAGTAACACAAATCTTTGACAGCTTTGGTCTTTTATCTATTACTTATTGGTCCACTTATTGGGATTTTTATTTACTCAGCATTGAGATGTAATCCACACTGATTGCGGTGGTCATTGATCTTCATCAGAATGTGCTTCAAGTCCTCCTTGATTCTTGATTTCAACTAACAAAGTTGTATCATCTGCACATCAGAGGTAGCTAGTGAACCGTCCTGTAATCCTGCTGCCATGTCCTTCTCCTTGGCTTCCGACTTCTCAGATTCTTTTCTCAGCATACAGACTGAATAAGAATGATGAAATGATACAACCCTGGTGCACATCTTTCTTGGCATGTTTGTACGATGTATTGTTAACTTGGATGAGTTATTCAAAGCCCATAGCACAGACGCACGATAAAAGGCAGTC